ACCACCGAACCAGCTATGGTGGAGGGATATCGAGCTAGGAAGAGCGAAGAGCGAACCGAACACAATGTTGCAACTGCGGACGGAGCGAAGAGCGAAGAGTGAGCGGGATATGGTGGAAGGTGGTTGGGCCTGAAGACCAAATATAAGAACGCGCGCGGAAGCGATAGCGCGACTTGATCTGTGGAGAGCCAACAAAAGGGATAACTCGAGGGCTGCAACGCCTTTTATACTTTGTTGCAGCAGGCCTCGCGTCGGGATCAAGGTGGGGCCGAATCGATTCGCATATCGCATCCCTGGGCCCATAAAACGCCATCAAGGTGGGGCGAATCGGTTCGCGTATCGCACACCTGGGCCCATAACACGCCAGGGCCTATAAACGGTAAGGGGCACCGGAAATTGTCAGCCGTCGATCAACAATTTTCAACCGCGCAGATGAACGGAGTCACTGTTATGCCAGTGGCCCTAAAATCTCCGTCAACTCCGGCGTGCAATGATGTGACAGTTCCCGAAAACAAGGGGCAGGCAATGTCATTTTCGCAGTTCTAATCTGGACCATCGATCGGCATGATCCGACGCACGAGGTCAGGCGCAAGAATGTGTAAGGTGCGGTAATTCGTTGTGCGCCGAGGCGGTTCGTTGCGCGCCGAGGCCAGTCGACGGTTTATTTCCCGCCGAGGCGCGGCGATTCGTTGTGCGTCGAGGTCAAAAACACCGGAAATCTATAAGTTCCGGTGTCGCTGTCATTCAGACATTTTGCAAATGTCAACGGCGTTCGATATCGATGCGTTTAGCCATGCACCATCGTTATCGATGCGCTTAGCTCATCGCCATCGCCAACACTCGCCATGCACCATCGCCATCGATGCGCTTAGCCCATCGCCATCGCGACGCAAAGCTATATCCCCCATCGCAGCGCTGACAATCGCCATCGCTCTCATCGCAGCGCTGACAATCGCCATCGCTCTCATCGCAGCGCTGGCCATCGTTGCGCCATCGCAACGCTGGTACTATAGCTGCCATCACAACGTTGGTTCCATCGCTGCGCCATCTCTCAATCGGTGCGCCATCGCTATCGCTGCCATCGCTATCGTTGCCTTCGCTATCGCTGTTCCATCGCTGCGCCATCGCTGTTCCATCGCTGGGCCATCGCTCTCCACCGCTTCGCCATCGCTCTCCACCGGTGCGTCATCGCTGCGCAATCGCTATCGCTGTTCCATCGCTGCCATCGCTATCGCTATCGCTGCATTGTAACGCGTAACGCGTTCCATCGCCGCCCATCGCTCTCCACCGGTGCGTCATCGCTCTCCACCGCAGCGCTGGCCATCGCTATCGAAGCTTGGCCAGTGTTATCCCACCGCAGCGCTGCGCGATTTCTCTCTCCATCGCCGCACGATCTCCCTCCATCGTTGAGTGATCACTCTCCATCTCACTCCATCACTGCGCGATCTCTCTCGACAACTGGGCAACCTCCATCCTTGCCCCAGAGGCTCTCCATTACTCGTGCGCGATCCCGCCATCGCCATTGTATTGTTGTTTCATGCGGTCGTCGGTGCAGCCGTCCATCACTGTGGAATTGCACGAAACAGGTGACAGGTATGTTTAACGAAGGTTAAAATAGATGGAACTGATGTTGTGCAATAACAAATCTTGGTCATCGCTGTGCCTTCTCTCTCCATCGCTGCCGCATCACTAACCATTGTTGTGCGTCCTCTCTCCATCTCTCTCCACCGATACACGATCTCTACCGACCTTTCATCATTTATCCTCATCGCTGCGGTATCTTTCCTAATCTATCTCCTTCGTCATCCATCTCCTTCGGTGTGCTATCTTTCCTAATCTATCTCCTTCGTCATCGTTCTTCATCGCTACGCTATCTTTCCCGATTTATCTCCATCGTCATCTATCTGCTTCCATGCGCCATCTTTCTCCATTGTTGTGCTATCGCTAACCATCGTTGCGCCTACTATCTCCATTGTTGCGCCATGTTTCTCCATCGGTGCGCAATCTCTCTCTCTCGCTGCGGCACCCCTCCCAATCAGTTCGCGATCTCTTTCCCTTCCTACGCCATCCACCTTCCTTCCCGGAATATACAACGCATTTTCATTACAGTTGTCTTTAGACTGAAAGATGACCCGAATTCAGTTGTAATGACCGGACGTTGTATTCGGGGGAAGACTGTGACTCCATCCATCTCTCTTGGTGCACCATCTCTCTCATTCGGTGCGCCATCTCTCTCCATGTATTTTCATCGATGCGTCGTTTGCCCATCGCTTCGCAATCTTTCTCCATCTTAAAAAATAGCACGCCATCTTTCCCTATTTCTCTCTTGCGACAATCTGTGGCTCGTACTACACGCAGAACAAGCCGGAAACAACTTGCACTTGTACCCGCAGTTTCGTAATGGAAATGCTCGTTTACAAGTGCGAATTCATTCGCTCTTGAACCAACCAACCCCTTAATTTGTCACTGTTTAGTCCATAGGTCAGAATTAACTCGCACTTGTACCCCCAGTTTTGTAATGAAAATTCCCGTTTGCAAGTGCGAATTCATTCGCTCTTCAATCAACCATCCCCCTAGA